GAACCACATCTGGACCACAGAACCACATCTGGACCACAGAACCACATCTGGACCACAGAACCACATCTGGACCACAGAGTCAGGAGCTGAGCAGAGAGAAAATACCCAGCTAAAGTATTCACACCCCTGGATGGTCACCTGACCCGTTAACGACCCAATCAGCAGATGTTCTGGCCTCAGAGCCTCTTCAGGGAACAGGGAGGAACTACCATCCCGCTGAAGTACCAGGAACCCAGCTGACTGTCATGGAGAAAGTTCTGGTTCAGTTCTAATCAGGGTCTGGATCCACAATAATCTCCCAGATCAGACCTGAAGATCAGCAGAACCCTGCAGATGACAGCACCACGTGGAAAGATGGCTCCATGCTGAAGCTGGAAAACTGATCCCAGCAGTCAGGGTGAAGCATGGTAGCGGCAGCATCAGGCTGTGGGGAGCCGTTTCTCCAGCAGGTCCAGAGAGGTTTAGAACAGCTGGTTCTGATGACGCCGACCCTGAATACCTGGACCAGACCTGCTTGTTCTAAAGGCGTCCCTGGTCGCCAAGGTGATCTCTGTTACCATAGCAACCCTCTCCAAGAAGCTGTGAGAGGTAGCATTAGCATAGCCATTAGCATAGCATAGCCGGACCGCAAACAGATAAAGACGCCGGCACACCGGAAGTAGTCATCAGTCCGGTCTGGGTTCGGATGGAAACTTCAAAGTTGTTTTCACCGCTAAACTGGATTTTACCTGATTTATCCGGAACAGACCCGCAGAGTTCAGACCTGAAAGGAAACCAGCAGCAGCCGCCCTGCAGCTTCCTTCTTCTGCCTCCTCTGGCTGAACAAGCAGCGCCCTCTGCTGGACGGGAAGGAACGGCACACATTCCAGGGAAAATGAACTAATCTGCTTCAATCCAATTAATCTTTAAGGAAAATAATAAAACAGATTAAATCTTCTATTATAATATTTATCTACTTTTTGCCTATTTTCTTTGTTACTAACCAAAAGTTGCCCCATTTCTGGTTGCCTGGGGTAGAACAGAATAGAAATGATAAAATAGAATACAGAAGAAAAGAGTAGAATAGAGTAAAATGTTATAGAATAGAATAGAGAAAAATAGAATAGAATAAAATATGAGGATTACCCAGTATTCTGTCGTTGTGAGGAATATAACATAACCCAGCAGCAAAGTGAAATTGTAGAAAATAAAGGAAAAATAACTAAATAAATGCTGAAAGTCTTATTATTCGGGTTTTTGGGAATACTGATGGCTGCAGGCAGAGAGGATGATGATGTCTGACTCCCTAACAGGAAACAGCATCATGACTTTAGCTCAGCCATCAGCGCCATCTAAATATTAATGATAAATCAATGTTCTTCTGTTATCTTTACATCCTCTATAAGCACCGTTTTATATCCAGACATCTTCCTGACTGACGGCTGCTTTATTAAACCAACACTGAGGGAGTTAAAATGTTTTCCTAACTATTGTGATTCTAATTGAAGGACTCCTCTGTGGTTTCAGCGGCTCTGAGCGACTTTCAGGACGGCCTCCGTGACCCGGTCACACAAAGCAACTAGAAATGTGCAGACTGCTTTACAGCAGAAGCCCCTCCCCCTTTCCCCATTCTTTATAAACGTCCCTGAGAGACTGCGTCTGTGTCCGAAGGTCTGCCCCAACCCCTACATAGAGCACTATAGGGGCCCTACAGTGCTCTATGTAGGCCAGGAAGGGCCACAGTCAGTCCTTAAGGGCCAACGCCCTGCAGGTTTTAGAGCTTTCCTTCCATCAGATCCGCTGATTTAATGGCTTTTTAACAAGCAGGAAAATCTCTAAAACCTATAGGACCCTCCAGGACCGACAGCGGGCCGCTGTGACAGCAAATCCCAGAATGCTTTGCGAGGAGAGCTCTCTGGGCAAAGCATTCTGGGATATATCTGCCTCTTCTGAGGCCTTTTTCTTCTCATACTTCGTAGACACTTTTTCTCTTCCAACCCTCGGTCATTCTCAAAGAACGGCGGTGAGAAAGGTGAGTTCAATGACTGTCTGAAACCGTAGCTCTCCACAGATCTATGCCTGAAAGAAACAGATCGCTAACGGGACGAGCACGTAGGACGGCCTTACGTGAACAGATCACCAGAATGATTGACAGTTAGGAGGACCACTGATTGAAATGATCCACCCAGAAAATAAAAGATCGTCCTCTTTACCTTTAAGTGAAAAGACAGTTTACTGTAACTTAACCTGATCTAAAAAACTGCAACTTCTGATTTTTGTAAGTTTTATAACTCAAAAAAATTTAAATCAGCTGTTGTGGTCATGGGTAGTAAGCAGATCAGTTGGTACTTCAGTAGTCTAGTAGCTTTTTTACCATCTACTTTTTACTCTTATCTTTCTTTAAAGGTTAACTTTTACCTGAATAAATATATGATTTAAACCCCTTACACTTGCACATTACTTACATATACGGTACCTCTTTCCCACTGGGTTAAAAACCAGTTTAAACCCGCAAACAGCCATCTTTTAGTGGCGGTGGGAACAGCTCACTGACGCGTATCTAACCGGGTCAAATGACTCGGCAAGCGACCCACGTCGACACATTGCGCCATTCGCTTCTGATCTAAGAGGCAGAATCAACTCTGTTTCCATTCCATAAACATGCAGCATCTCTGGTGGGAGGGATTCAGACAGATAATAAAGAGAAACATTGAAGAACACTGACTACGCCCTGGCTTACTTACATGTTGCTCTCCATTGTTTACTTTCCTGATTTCTGTAGCACTGGTGACATCATGATGGCGTCACTAGATGCGCAGTGGGGGACAGAGAGGTTAGACCAGCTTTTTCTGACTGTTAGCGGGTCACCATGTTTGAAAAACACGCGTTACCTGCTATTTCCAGTGGGAAAGAAGCTAACTGTGGCCAATAATCAGCCTGAGCTGGGCTAGAGTCTCCGCTATCTGGGGAGGAGGCCGGATCATCTGAGGCTGAGCCCCAGCTAGCTCAGAAGGAAGCCTGGTGGGTTGAGTTGGAGTCCTGGTTAGCAGAGGGCCGCTGTAGGGACCAGATCTGCTGGGGTTCTGCTTCCTGCCAGTGACGTTACGCTACATGATTGGCCGAAGTTCGTCACATCACGTAAAACATTGTGGTTGCCCTGACAACGATAATAACATCACACATCATCCTTGTGCCGAGTTGGGAGCATCTGTAGCGTTAGCGTGTCTAATGACTGATGAAGTTTTACCTGATCGATAACAAAACAACAAAGTAACCGTTAGACCGTGATGTAAAGAGCTGGGTAGCGCTGTGGCTAGCTGTGCTCAGCAGCTAACAGGTTAGCTCGCTCAGTTAGCCATATTAAGCTACACTAATTTTAACTTCAATTCTATTCAGTTTAATTCTATATCATGTCATCTCAGGTCACTTTCCAGCTCACCAGATCATCCAGTCAGATTGATTCAAAACTTCATGTCAACAACAACCGTTTTCTATGAGTAGAATAACTGTTTTATTTGTCTAAAATCTCTATGAAAGTCATTTTCAAGATACTTAATTTGTCCTCCTCTGTCCTTCTTAATAAAAAGAATAAAAGCTGAGACTTTTCAGTCTCCTTGTTAAATAGCCGAGCTCAGTCTGCCTTAGAGGCAGGACTTTCCTTCCAGACTGACAATCATTGTTTTCTACTTTCAGCGACTTTAGATCGCCAGTGAAACATAAAATATGGGCAAATATGGAGAATAATATGTTAAGACTCCAGAAACGGGTACAATACAGTTTGTCCGAGTGGAGTTGCCATAGGATGACATCATAAGAAGGGGCGGGGCCCCGAGCAGATCTGGAACCTACACCGGCTAGCTGGACGTCCAGATTTTTGACACAATTTTGTGGCATTAGCTTTAGCATTTCTGCTGCTTGGCAGCTGGTCCAATGAACTCTCCTCAGGTATATCAGCTCACTGGTTGTCATCATTTATTTCTGATTTCTCCCGTTTCTCCCTTTGTGTTCTCCTTGTTCTCTACATGCTTTGCTTCGTCTGTCCTCCATGCTGCTCCTGCTCTTTGCTCCTGTTATGACCTCACCACTCGTAACAGGTTCTAACTCCGCTGCGACCAAGCCTGGAAGCAGGGAACACAGGAAAGCTGCAGAGATAAAGCAGGAACACTTAGGATTTATTCTGGGAGAGGATATGACATCACATTAAACACAAACAAAATAAACTCCAGTCGTTCAGTAACACCAACCAGCCGTGGGAATGGAGAGTTAGCCCTGTAGCTAACACCTCTGATGGACAAGTGGAAGCCTTTCCTCTGCCAACAAGGCCAGGAGCAGACTGAGGATACTGAGACTGGCTTGAAGCTACACAGGGGGGGGTGGGCAGTTCCAATTCCTGGGGGGGTTCCTGCAACGTTTAGATCCATCCTTGGTTCAACACACCTGAGTTTCCTCCTCAGCATTCAGTCAGTTCCTCCATCTTCCTCTCAATCATTTAATGAATTGATTCAGGTGTATTGAACCAAAGCCACGTCTAAAAGTTGCAGGATAGAGGCCCCCCAGGAACTGGTCCCGCCCCCCCAGCATTGGAGGAACACAGAGATAGAATCAGAGGATCAGCATTACAGAAGAAGTTTACAGCAAAAGTACTCGGTGTTTGGAGAGATACGGAGGAGCAGGAGAGAAAAACCCGAATCTTTAGCATTGGCTTCAGGTAACAGGCTACGCTGGGGGTTCTTTCATTCCCATAAGCTCCTCCCACAAGGAGAGAAGAGTCAGGAAGGTGGAATGATGAGGTGTGCAGAGGTATTGGAGCGGTTAGCCTCTGGACTCCAGAGATCTGCAAAAAGAGACACAGAAATAAACAAGGGTTGAAGCATTGAAGCCCAAATCATGATCCCTCCACCACCATGCTTAACACAGCTGTAAGGAGTCTGTCCTCCCTCCCATCTGGAGCTGTTAGACGCTCATCGTGTGAAATACGTCTCCATCCTCTGTCATGCTAACCAAACATGTGAAAAGCAGACTAACAAGAAGTCTCACGAGTAGCTGTTGTGCTGCTGTCGTCTCCTGGCGCTCCTCATCTTCTCAAAGCGAGCCTCCATCTCCTCCAGGACCTTGGGGGTGTAGCGGACCACCAGCTTCACCGAGCCCTGGGCGGCTTTCAGCAGCTCCACTGCCTTTTCATGTTGCTCTGCCTCCACGCTCTGCAGACACCGCACTGTTACAGGCTTCCAGGGGGATGGGGGGGGGCCGAGGGTCTCTTATTAAGGTCTTACCACTCCGTTGACTGACAGCAGCTGGTCTCCTCTCTTCAGCCCTCCTTGGCGATCGGCCACCCCCCCAGGGATAACTCTGGAGATGTATATGGGGGAGTTCTGCTCCTTCCCACCCATGATGTTAAAGCCAAGGCCCTCCTCGGTTTTGGGAAGCTCCACCACCCTCGGGTGGGCGTGACCCTCGCTGGCTGCGAAGGCTGCCACTGTTGCCTGAGAAGGTGAGAACAGAGATGAGCTTTGACTGTCTGTTGCAGTCACACAGTAGCTTCTAAACTGACTGACCCCCAGATCCCCCATCCTCCGTCACCCCCCCGGGGACTAGAAACAGCTCTGCTCCGTATTTTGACAGCCGCAGAAGACGTAGGTGGACGGTGACGTGCGGAGGGGCAGCGGTGGTTGTGGAATAGCTCTCATTGATCAACATGACAGACAAGTACACCCCCCGACGTACGTGGGCGGGTGCTGATGGAGGATGTGGATTCTGGGGGTGAGTCTCACACGGATGGAGACCAAAAGTGTGACCAGAAGGAAGAGAGCAAGATGGTAGCCATGACTACAGGATCTCAGACGGATCAGGTGGTGAAGATCCGCTTTAGTCACATGACCAAACAAACACCTCATAACAAAACCAACAACAACACAGACAGCCACTAGATAGAAATACAGATCAGTCGTTAAAATAGGACTGATATGTTTAATAATTGCCTCATAGCCATCATGATGCCGACATATCCTGCATCTTCCTCCTCCCTGCCTGCTCAGATGCATCTCTCCCTGCTTGCTTCTATCTGTCTCCTTGAACCCCAGTGGGCCTCAGCAGATGGCCGCTCACACTGAGCCTGGTTCTGCTGGAGGTTTCTTCCTGTTCAAAGAGAGTTTTTCCTCTCCACTGTCGCTACAAGCATTTTTGAGGGACAGAGACAGATTTGAGGGTCGCAGAGGCTTTGCGTCAGAAGCATAAATTGGCCTTTAGAGTTTTCAGTAAACCTGTTTGGTGAAACTGACCCCTGAGGATAACTGAAGGGGTTAAATAACCAAATACTGTAAAGTTTTTACAATCAAACAAGTCATATTTTAGGGGTGCTTTGATTCAGATTAGGGGTTCTTCAGCAGCCAAAATAATAGAGTAAAAACGCCTATGAGCTGGACGCCATCACCATGAATAAAGCTCCCAGTGGTTAGATCCTTCCTACAGCTAAAATCAAACAATCATTCTTTTGTTTTTTGACATTTTAATCAAAGAAATTGGAGTTCTGCCCCATGTTCTGATTCTGACCGGTTCACAACACAGCGTCATCTGAAAACTAAACAACTGTGTTCAAAATGCTTCTATATTCATTTATGTACAAAATATAAAGAAGAGGAGATAAAACCCAACCCTGAGGTGAACCTGCTGATGCTGAAACAACCTGTCAGTTATTAAAAAGGACTCTCAGTTCCAGACGTGTTCACGAGTCATTTTTTGCAAGTCTTTAGTTTGCATCGGCATAGGAGTTTATGGAGGCATGTTTGCTTATTTCCTCTGGTGTTTCCATCTCTGGCACTGAAACGATTAACTTGGATTTAATCTTGGACACTTTGTCTGATAAAGGACTTGTATCTGAACGAGTCCTGTTGGATCTCTGTGCTGCATTTGATCCGTAGGCTAAAGAGGCTAACCTGCTAGCTATGAGCCCCGCGCCTGGAAAGTGTTGTAGCCTTTATACCATGCTCAGGCTATAACTTAGTTCACCAACAATAAATCTTTTTAGTTTTGTTTTCCATCAGATGAAACTTCAGTGGCGGCTGCCGCGTTTCCCTCTAGTGAGCTTCATATTCCTCTGCTACTGGTTTGGCTTCCAGATAGACCAGTCCCAGTAGCGCCATCTCACTGCGGAGCTGAGTCCCACCTGGTTTTTAGACGTACAGTGTGAGCAGGTAGATCACATCAGAGCGTCGGGACGCACAGTGTTAGAACAAACATGGTGAGCTGGGAACGTTTAAACCCTGCGGTTTGGTCGTACAGTCTGAGCTGTAGCTGCGTGCAACGACTGGAAAAATCGCCCAGTGTATGCCCGCCTTAATGGGAAAATGAATAAATATTTGGCCAATCAGCATCACTGAAATGAATGGCTTTGAGGCTCCTGGAGTTGTGTCCCCTGCTACAGTGATACAGGTGATGGCGCTAGTGGTCAGTCAGGCAGTGAGGTGGAGGTTATGGCGACGACAGCTGAACTTGAAGAGCAGCTTTCACACAATTCAGTGAGATCTGTACTGAGTTATCCTTTCACTAGAAGGACGATGGTGGAAAACATCCATGTAAAGGAGCCGGGACCCGACAAGCCCCAAATAAATTTAACGCAGCGAACCGAGGATAAGGCTAAATCCTACAACCGGACTTTTACCAGGAGCTGGTTCCAGCGTTAGTCGTGGTTAAAAGCTAACGCTTTATCCTGCCTCCTTTTCAAAGGTCAGGATCTGATCCAGCCTGGATAAAGACAGCTGGGACTGATTTAAAGCACTTTGTAGAAAAGAAGAATGAACAATCTGGGATTCACATGGAAAATAATAGAATATAGTAGACTTTTTCTACATGTTTAATTTGCATAGTTGCTATTAAATAAAGACATTCTCAGAAAATAAATAGATTTTATATATTAAAGATATAAAGCTGACTAATAGATTCTCCAATATTAAACTGGTTCATCATTTTTTTAGGTTTGTGACTCAATATTGGACCAAAACAAAGATTTACCTTTACAGCCTCAGAAGGGCCTGATTGTTTGCTGGCATTCATAAAAATATTTTGGTGTGATAACTTAGTATATGTTTGATTGGTTTTTAAATTTTAGCCCCCCTGGAGAAAACTCCAGCAGCCGCTGCTGTAAAACTTCCTCGATCATTCGCTGCTCCTGACTCGGCACACGCTGCTTTATGTTAGCATCGTCCAGACGAAACGTAATGATTTACGTCATTGTGGAAACGTTCAGGCGATCATATATCTGGTAACGACAGCAGGGCGGCCCAGCAACACTGAAACCTGCTGTTGATTGGTTTAACATCTCAAGTCCCTTCAAGTCAGAAAGGTCTAAGTCACATGACACTTCTAAAGGCGTCTAAGGACACAATGAAAACAGTAAAGCCAGTGATTCCACTGAGCGTGATCCAAATATAACCCGGATCCGTTCATCATGGACTGATTTTAGAGTTTCACTGTGAGCAAGTTGACCCGGAGAGCAGAACCGGCGCTAAAATACCTTCGCTGTTGCTTGAGCTCGGACTTCTGGGCCTCCAACGATATCCAGGGTGTCATAGAGCTGCTCATACACCTGAGAGAAGAAAGACATTCAGTGTCAACGGCAGGAACGCTGCAGGGAGGTACAGTAACCAGTTAAAGTATTCACACCCTTTATTTGACTGAGACCATCCTAACGGGGAGCTGAATACTTAAGGGCTCATCTTTAAGGCATTGAAACCATCCTCAGGACCAGCTGGCCTGTTCTGGTCCAGACAGTGGGGGGGACATTCAGGCTTCTGTGGCGGATTGTTTTTTTAAAAAGCCTTACGTATATATTTCATGGTTCATGGTTCTTCCTCAAGGCTCAGAGGTCCAGGGTTAGAGGTCCAAAGTAGAGACTGACACGGGAGTGGATTTTCACTCCTGTCCCGTCCCACTCCC